TCAGCAGGGAACTGGGTGGACTTGGGTGAAAGGCTGGACTCGATCATCTCAAAGGGTCTTTTCCAACCTAAACCATGGATTCTATGATCTTGCAGCCTTCAGATGATGAGAACAGTGACAACAGCAACGAGTGTGTGGTTTGCCTGTCAGACCTGAGGGACACCCTGATCCTGCCCTGCAGGCACCTCTGCCTCTGCAACTCCTGCGCCGACACCCTGCGCTACCAGGCCAACAACTGCCCCATCTGCAGGCTCCGTGAGTGTGTGCCCAGCAGGCTGGGCAGCTTTCTCCCTTCTGGGCTCCTCTAAAAATCAGTACAGGCTGTGAGAAGGTGCCTGTGTTTTCTATATCCCACCCCAAGGCTCAGCATCAAACGTTGCTGCTGCTCTCGCCGGCTTAGCTGGAGATTTCTGACACCTAAAATAGCAACAAGCCTCAGAGAGGGAAGGAGGGGATTATGTGGGAGAATGGCCCTTTGTTCAGTGCCTCCCTGGTGTCTTGCCCTCTCCCTGGGGTGGATCTGAAGGTGCAGGTGTTCTGAGCCCTGCCATGTAGGCAAGTCTTGTGTTCTGGTGCAGAAGATGGAAAAGTCCCTCAAAGGAGAGGATGTGGAATCTTTATGCTGAGAGTACCTGGCCAGAACAGTAGCCAGCCCCACCAAAAAGCTGTCCAAGAACTTTGCATGAGTTTATTTTCCCCTCTGACAACTTTTCTTTGACTTCACTGGGGAGGTGGAGATAAGATAAATGTCAATTTAGCCCTTTGCTTTGCCAGGAGAGCTAGGAGGACTCTGCCCCCTGCACTGCTCAGCTCCCAGAAGATGGACAAAGTGAAATATCCATCCTGACACTCAGGCAGTGCTTGCTGAATTCCAGGGCTTTTCCAAAAAGCACAGAGTCATAAGGGCCTCTGGAGAAAATTCCTGTGTTATTACTGGAATAGACAGATCCTGTGTTTTGGTCTCTGAGGTATTTGATTGTTTCTAATTGATACTTCTCAGGAAAGAAAAAAAAAAGAGCCTTAAGGCAGATGTTTGGCCTGAGAAATGAAGTCAAAAACAGTTCAAACTTGGCAAAGATGCAGTGACCAAGATCTTATCAGAGGAAGCACCACACAGCTTTGACCATGAGCAGCACAACTTAAGAAACCAGAAACAGCATGATCTGATCTGCATGTTGCAGCAGAGCAGCTTGTGTGTGTTTGGAAAGTGTCCCCATGTCAGAATTCCTGGAAATCTGCTTCTGGGGAATGCAGAGGCAGGGAGGGTGGATTTGCACCTCTGGCTTTAGGGTGATGTTGCAGCTGGGTGCACCAAGAGGTGCCTGGACCTCTTCTTCATGCACAAGCAAGTTCTCACAGCTGCAGCACATCTGGCTCATTCCTGTGTGCGCTGGGCACAGGGAATGAAAGATCTGGAGATAGAAAATGGGGCTGTGGGCAGGGAGTGGAGATCAAAGCTATTGCAGTGGGAGGACCAAGTGGTGTCTGTGCTGGAGGCAGGAGTTGAGCCCCCAGCCCTCTGGCTGGGTTTGTGTCCCTGGCAGAGGCTCTCAGCTCTGTGCTGGCTGCTGGGTGGGCCGGAGTGATGCTTCCAGCACCAGGGTTGAGACTTGTGGGGGCTGAATGAACCCAAAGTGATTTTACATGAGATCACCCCCATCCTGTAGCTTGCAGAGAACTGCCCAGGGCTGAGCTGGTGCCTCTGTTACTGTGCTGGCCAGGAGCAGGCCTGAAGCACCTCTGTGCAAGGGCTTGTAGGGAGAGGACAAGGGGGAATGGGTTGAAACTGGAAGATGATCCAAGGGCTGGAGCAGCTCTGGAGCCAGGCTGGGAGAGCTAGGGTGTTCAGCCTGGAGAAGAGAAGGCTCCAGGGAGACCTTAGAGCACCTTCCAGGGCCTGAAGGGGCTCCAGGAAAGCTGGGAAGGGACTTAGGACAAGGGCAGGGAGGGAGATGACAAGGGGGATGGATTAAAACTGGCAGAGGGGAGATTTGGGTTGGACATGAGGAGGAAATTCTTTGTTGTGAGGGTGATGAGAGCCTGGCCCAGGTTGCCCAGGGAAGCTGTGGCTGCCCCATCCCTGGCAGTGTTGAAGGACAGGTTGGATGGGGCTTGGAGCAACCTGGGCTGGTGGGAGGTGTCCCTGCCCATGCAGGGGGTTGGATCTAGATGAGGTCCCTTCCAACCCAAATCATGCTATGATACCTGACTGTACCAGGGCAGCAGTGCCTGCTCTCCACAAGGGCTGTGTGTTCCCACACCTTTCTGGCCAGCAGGTCCCTCCCCGGGGCAGACTGATCCTCTAGAAGCCAAACCCTGGTGCTTATCCTTGGTGGGCTCCGTGTCCTGCTCCCCACGTCGATGGGGAGCAACCCTGTGTTGGATGGTGTGTCTGTGGCCAGCCAAGGAGCTCTCACAGCCTGCTCCTGCCTGGCCATGTGCTCACCTGGCTGCTGTTCCCTCCCAGCCTTCCGTGCCCTGCTGCAGATCCGGGCAGTGAGGAAGAAGCCGGGAGCTCTGTCGCCCGTGTCCTTCAGCCCCGTCCTGGCGCAGAGCGTTGACCACGACGAGCACTCTGTAAGTACCTCACCACCCTGGGGACAAAGCCTTGGGTGCTGGGCTCAGCCTGGGTCGTGCAGCTTTGTCCACCCACGAGTTGCTTGGCCTGATGGTCAACATCCCCTGGGATCTCAGGAGGGACACTGGGGGCCTTGGAGCAAGGTCTTCCTGGGCAGTGTAGCCCCTCAGCCCTGCTGGAGAGCCAGGACCTCTCCTCGTGGGGTTTAGCCAGATGCTCTCCTGGCTTTTGGAGGAAACAAATTCAGCAAAAGCATTGAAGGAGCTGGGAATGTTTGAGGAAGAGGAGGCTGAGGGGAGACCTCAGAAAGAGCCTGAGTTTGTCCAACTGGCCTCTGCAGCATTGTCCTGGGGCCTGGAAACAGGGCAGGGGAGAAATCCCAAGGGTTGCTGTGAAGCAGAGCAGGGTGTATAGAGGAAGCAGGTGCTGTCACCTGGAGCCAGGTGGGGAGATGCTGTGTGCCTCTTTGTGTCACCAACCTCAAGGAACAACTTCTTTAAATCGTGGCTTTCTCTCAACAGTGTCCCTTTAAGCCCCTCAAAGTCAGCACTGTCTCCCT